CTAAGGTTGGGAAAGCAACAGACGTAGGTGGACTGTTGAGCAAACTTGGGACATTAGCACAGACATCGGGACATAATGTCTCCAAGATGGTGATGGATATGAGATCATCGGTCCGAGAAGTCAGCCAATGAGACAGGCACAGCAACAAAGCTAGCCAATGCAAACACACCAAAAGGGTGGATAAACCCTTTATAAGGTGGGTGCAAAAGAGGAATCTTTGGTTGGATCCTTCAGGCAGCTTCGAGCCAAGATCGAGATGGACAAAGAACTCTGCAGCTGAAGAAGAGCCGGAGCCACAGAGCCGAAGACTGTTCTGCACATGGGGACCAACCCGTTAGCCCCGCAACATGTGGCTTCAAATTGCACTTCTCTCATCAGCTGGGTTTGGGACCCCAAAGATAAAGACAAAGACCAAGGCAAAGATGAAGATAAAGACAAAGATAAAGAACAAAGGCAAAGAGGAAGAACTGGTGCGTTCCTTCCATGAGATCAGCTTGTCTACATCTTGATGGACCAGAAAGATCGTGAGACGAGGAGAAAGAAGCTACAGAGCTCCAAGACAAGAAGCTGAGGACCGCTACGCACTTGAGGAAGTCACCGTGAGGCCCGAGACCTGCCGCTCTAAGTCAGTACTCTTCCTGTACTGGGAGCCTTCTGCTGCTGCAACACCTCCTTCATCATCAGGCCAGTTCTGGGGTTCAAAATGCCAAACACCGTCCGTCTCTTTCAAAGTTTATCTTTTTTAGTTCACAGTGTCAGCATTAGGGAAAGATAGGCTGGATTATCGATTTTACTTGTTTGATTATTTCTGTTACTGATTTAAGCTGTACTGACCCTTGCAAAATTGGCTTACTAATAAAATAATTAGCATTAAGAAAATCTAAAAGATGTGGATGTTGTGTTAATGAGTCACCTTAAAGTTCTTTGATGGTTGTAAAATAGCTATGAAGTTTGATTCTGGGAGGAGAAAGTGGAAAATGTTTTATAAGTTGCTTTTAGCCAAAACAACACCCTTGGGACTCGCTCGAATCACTAAAACCTACCTGGTTCAGTAACAAGTGCAAGTTGTAATAAAGAGAAAGAGCGACCGTTAACAGGTGTGCTCT